CCACAACCCTCCCCCCCTCCCAACACCTGGGATGGCTCGATAGCTAGACTTCCAATAATTATTGCAATGATATAATGCAATACATACCTGGTAAAATATCCTTTATGTGGTGTGTTACAGTTTTAAAGCCAGTTAAAATATGCAGTCTTCAGATAAAATGTAATCCTTGAAAAATTTTCAGATCTGCACAGTTTAAATGTGCTAGATGCATAATTTTTCCTAGTCCGCTTTTTTCTGTGTAATTATTTTTTATAAACTGGTATTATAAATAGAAATATACATTCAAAATATATGGAAAAGTGAGTTACTACATTAAATTTGCATGTATCGATCCATCCCTTTCCCCTGCACAGTAATAGAAAATACTATTTTGCCTTGAACTTCATATTTGACAGTGAAATGCCACTAAAGTATTTACCAAAAAGTCCATCTAGTCAAAGTGTGAAACAAAATGAACCAAGTGAAAACTTTACAGGTCCTTTAGAAAAAAATTACAAGAATTTCATTTCCTAGCTATGAATCTTTAACTTTTTTAGACACAAAGTTGGATTTATTTTTACAAGATACAAAATGTAAACATGGCAAAATAAATAGTTAAAACAAGTGATGTAGGATCCCATTTCATGCTCATGATCCCATTAAAGAATTATTTTTTAAAATCCATTCAGTTGCAAATTCAAGTGCAAAAGCATGATGATGAATATCTACTATTCAAGTAACAGAAATAATATTGATGATACAAATAAACTATTTTACAAGGTAGTGATTTTCCCAATTTTACAAAATATACATCATATATCGATTACACATCCAAGATACTGTAGTCCATTTAGGTCCATGGTTAACCTCTGTGATCCACAGAGTGTCGCCTTTTGCATTCAGCTGGAATATGAATGACTGCACACCATCAGCACAGGTCAAAGCCACATGTTTTAGGTTATGTCACTTCCATAGCTACTGTTGTCTCTGCTATTCCATTTAAACCCAATCTTTCTGGTTCATGGTTCTCTCTATAATAAGGCAAAGAGTAAAATAAACATTAAAACTCTCTAGTATTTACAATACATTTTTATGTACTATAACTAAACATGTACTTGCCAAGAACATTCCCCATTTTTACAATTTCTATACAGGAATGAGAAGTTTCCTTCAGCTGAGAAACCCTATTAATTCCTAATTACTTGACTATAACTACTTACTTAGGAAAGAAAGTAATTTAATATTTCAGTGATAAATTACTTATGTAATAGATAACGTAGGACAACCGAAGTTTTTTACAGTAGATGGAGCATACGATGCTCCAAAACAATGATCATTAGGAGCACAATATTAAATTACTTTCCACTACAGTTTAAATTTTTCCAGTTTAAGCTTGTGTAGTTATTAACCCGTGAAAATAATTTTTTTTAACAGTCACTGTTCTCATCTATTACTCTCACAGAAAGAAGATAAAAAATAATCTGAGCCCGGATGGGGTGGCTCAGGGTTGAGAATCGACTCATGAACCAAGTGGTCACTGGTTCCATTCCTGGTCAGGGCACATGCCCGGGTTGCAGGCTCGAACCTCAGTAGAGGGCGTGCAGGAGGCAGCCGATCAATGTTTCTCTCTTATTGATGTTTCTATCTCTCTATCCCTTTCCCTCCCCCTCTCTAAAAAAATCAATAAAAACATACTAAAAAAATACTCTGAAATACATTATCCTAGATTTAGTTAATCCCAGAATATTCTCAATATACACATAGAATAATTTACTTTCCCATTCTGTTTAATGTTGAGGAAATACGAAATTGATTTGAAAAGTAAAGCTCTGACATGGAAGTTAATAACAATTCTAATCCTCTAGATTGTCTAAACTACAGAAAAGTCATGTAAGAGTAACTGAAGCTTCTAATAAAGGCTCTGTTTTTGGTTTGATGGTTCCCAGTTTGATGTGGTTTTCTCCTGTTTTTATCATTCTGGTTAGCATTTAAACACCCTACTAGTGACCTCAAATAAATAATGTAAGTCACAGCATTTTACACTAGGCAGATAATTCAGTATCTGTTGAAAAGCAAGCCAATCAACAGATATCTATTACCTGAAACGGTAAAAAAAAAAAAAAGTCTTTTCCTCCCACAGGAGAGCCAGCAGAAAAGGATAGAATGATGCTTGAAATAAGCACATACACACACCTTGCTATGCTGCTGATGGCACTGCTGGGAGTAACCTTTGGCACTCTGTCCATACTGGCAGCAACTGTGGCAAGTTTTAAGGCTGTTGGCGATGGTGCTGAAGTCCGTGTATTGATATGCACATTGACTGGAGAAACAACACTGACGTTATTGAGGTGCACTGCATTTGTCAGGCAAGAATTGTTCATGGGAAGTGTTGGAGGACTGCTTGTGCACAATGCTGGGATTAAGTGGTTTGTAGTGGTGTGGCCAACTGTCCTGACAAGTTGTACAGCTGAAATCCCTGGGCTGGATGATAAAGCCATATTGGTGGAGTATAATGTTTTAGAGGTTCCTGAAGGAGAAAAAAAATCATTCAATTCATATCCTGAGACATTAATTAAACTCTTAAAAAGAGTTTAATAATAAAAAAATAAATTCGAACATTTGTATTCCAATTAAATGGCAAATCAACTTTCCACATAATGGCCTCTCAAAAGACAGCTTCTAATCAGTAAGTACAACATACTCACCTGTTACAGCCCCAAAGACAAAGACACCTTCTTTCTACATAAAAGGGCTTTGCAAAGTATTCTCTCTCCATATTTGGAAACTGTATAATAGGACAGAGAGGTCCATTCTGGAGGCTGAGGGCGGGTGAAAATGATAGTTGCATTTCTATTAGAATTTATACATGTAAGAACATCAGTAAGGAGGGGCAATCAGGATGGTGGATACACGTAAAAGCAAGTGGAAAATCCCAAGGTCTGAGCAGTAGTTGAAGGATGTTTGAACAGCAGGTCCTGGAGGACTCGGGGTAGTAAGCAGCAGACAGTCTCACAGCAATGCTGCACTTCAAGAGGAGTCAGAGAAAGAGGGCCTCTGAGTATGTAAACATGGGGAGGCAAACCCGATCTCAAACTTATTGACCATCCTGTATTGTATTTTGCCTTTGAAACAAAACATGGATAATCCAGTGGTGATGGTGAATGATTAGCTTGATGCATTTCCTAAGATGTGAGGCAACTGACAGGACATGGATAAAATTAGGCAGGGTGGAGAGTCACAAAGGTAGGTATCCAATGGGTATGCAATGAAAGAAATAGAAAGCAGGCTCTACTTGAATTCTAAAAAACATTCAGCTACTCCACTAGTCATTATCCACAGACATTCTAAAGATTGACTTGTACATTTTCCCCTTGGATTTAAAAAACAAAAACCATACCTCAAATCACTGAGTTACAACTTTGAGCTAGCAAGTACCATGTGAAACCACAGACTTACCTGAAGGCTGGACAACACCGTTTATGTTGTTGTGGCCAGTGTTCTGTTCCTTGGCTGCGTCAGTGCGACTTGGAACAGGTGCACTGACCACTGCAGATGCAGCAAAGTGGGCGCTGGCTGAGTCGAGTGTTTTAGACATACAGTCAGAGGTGCTTGAGCCCTATAAAATGAACAAAATGAAACCTAATTATTTAGGTATGATTCCATGAACATAATAAGAAGTGGGCAAACACAGGAAAAGGCGGTTTCCTTTTTCATATGGGACAGTTGTGTTTACATTAAGAGATCTAGGGCTCCACAGACTATTTTTGGCATATGAAGCAGGGAAGTGACTAAAAACCAGGAAGCAATTATTTCTAAGAAAGAACTAGGGGATTAAAAAACCCAAACCTTTAATGCTCTATAAATATTTCCAATATGTGTTAATGAATACCTTTAAAAATACTTGACCATCTTGATACTATGAGAAAATAAAATCACAGAGACGACTAACAGTCATTTTTGTCACAATGTAAAAAGCATGCCTTGGCCCAACCTTGCAGTAGGCTGAAAACACCTTAGGCTGGTTACCAAAGAGACTCAGAAAAACCAAATAGAAAGGCAAGTTTAATGGCATTTACTCCTTTTTTTCAAAGAAAATTATCTTTATTGTCAAGAGCATTACAGATGTCCCCCATGTCCCCCTCCACTCCAGGCCTTCATGGCTCTTTTGTCTGTGTCCATGGGTTATGTATATATACATATAAGTTCTTTGGTTAATCTCTTGTCACCTCCTCCCTACCCCACTTCCCTCTGAGATTCGTCAATGTGTTCCATGCTTCCATGTCTCTGGAGCTATTTTGTTCACCAATTTATTTTGTTCATCAGGTTCCACAGATAAGTGAGATCGTGTGATACTTGTCTTTCTCTGACTGGCTTATTTAGCTTAGTATAATATTTTTCAGGTCCCTCCATGCTGTCTCAAAGGGTAACAGATCCTTCTTTTTTATAGCTGCATAGTATTCCACGGTGTAAACGTACCACAGCCTTTTAATCCACTCACCTACTGATGGGCACTTGGGCTGTTTCCAGATCTTAGCTATTGTAAATTGTGCTGCTATGAACATAGGGGTTCCATAGATTCTTTCTGATTGGTGTTTTGGGTTTCTTAGAATATATTCCTAGGAGTGGGATCACTGGGTCAAATGGCAGCTCCATTTTTAATTTTTTGAGGAAACTCCATACTGTTTTCTATAGTGGCTCCACCAGTCTGCATTCCCACCAGCAGTGAAACAGGGTTTCCTTTTCTCCACACCCTCGCCAGCACTTGTTGTTTGTTGATTTATTGATGGTAGCCATTCTGACAGGCGTGAGGTGATACCTCATTTAATTTGCATCTTTCCAATGATGAGTGCCGTTGAGCATTTTTTCATGTCTCTTGGCCATCTGTATGTCCTTTTTGGAGAAGTGTCTATTTAGGTCCTCTGAATGGCATTTGCTCTTGATTTTGTATAAAACTGGTAGCTATTTCTAATAGCCAACAACCCTAGAATGTGGTCAGTCCCAAATCCATCAGGATGTTACAGGAGTGTTGAGGGGTCCTAGGGTCACTGAGATTTTCACGTTGCTGACTCGGGATCTCCAAGGTCAGTGTACTGACCCTTTGAGAATGAGCTGAACTACTATGGGCAGATGCTGGCCTGAGATACAACGAAACTGAGTTAATCTCATTATTTTATAATTACTTTTTAGAATTACGGCGCAACAATATTTAAGATCTAAAATACTAGGTTTATTTTTTCAAATGGCTCAAATTTGAAATACACTCCTGAATTACAGTTTTGTTTTTAATGGCTTAAACAACAGACATTTATTCTCATACAGTTGTGGAGGCCAAACGTCCAAAATGAGTCTACAGGGCTCATCTGAAAGTGTTGAAAGCTTTTCTCTTCTGGCAATTAGTTTTATAAGGTATTTTTATTCTTATCCATAGTGTCTTCACTTAATGGTGCTTATGGGAAACCTCACCTGGTGGCATTTTTTTCCTTCAGGGAAATATGATTCAAGGAGACAAGGGGCTATGTTTAGAGTTACTGCACAACTAAGAGAATTATCTTTCAGCTCAGGGTACACCCACAGTTAGGAAAGTTAAATCCTTGAAAAAAATATTTTTGGGGACAGGAAGGGTGGGGGATAATGGTTCTAAGAGTATATAATTACTTTTATAAATTCTCAGTAAGCCTTCAAAACATTTTTTCCTAAATTAAAAACATATTTGGCTCTAGTAAGCCTCATAAAATATTAACTAGTCACTTAAAATTATGTAAATTAATGACCTCTAAAATCAAGAGTGGTAATATCAAGATTATGTTCTCTAACTTGACTACAACTGAACAAAACTATACGATGACGAGAAAGGAGGAGAAAGACGCATGCTAAAGCCAGGCTTACCTGTGCTTTCGGATGTGTCTGCTGCGAGGAATGCTGAGATTGCTGTTTCTGCTGAAGCTGAGCAAGCTGCTGCCTCTGCATTTGAACTAACTGCTGTTGATGTGTCTGAAACTGCTCTTCTGTGATACCCCCTGTTACTGGTAAAGGACATGAGTTTCAAAACTAAGTATGTTTCAAAGTACATTTAATAACACAGGTAAAATGCAAGATAAAATTATTCCACAATTAAGATGAAAAGCAACTACAAATCACAATATACATCATTAGCAAAGAATCCAATAAAAATGACAAATCTTTCAGCAAAAGTGGCTTATGCTAATATCCATCAGACCTTATGCTAAAAGTTCCTGTATGTGGTTTTTACTGTACAACATAGTTCTAATGTGAGAATTCTATCACTTATTCAGATTCAGTGTCTTTGTGATCACTCTTAATTCTCTACACTATGGTAACTACAATGAGAAAAACTTTGATTTATTAGTGCAAATAGTAAGATGACTAAGTTAAGTTACAGCCTTAATAAGGAAACAGAACCATCTTTAAGAATGTAAATGATCCTGACTGCTGGTTTTCATCTATGACACTGACATGAAAATACCTTTTTTTCTGATTACAAATCAGAGTGGAAGACAAAGATGTTCATCTAACATAACCACTGACCAGCAATTTTCAACCTTTCCCATGTCATGGCACACGTAAGCTAATTACAAAAATTCTCCAGCACACCAAAAAATACATTATACTTTTTCTGATCTGACAAAAAAAAAAAAAAAAAGGTGTAATTTTTCATTCACACCATATGGTTATTATTGTGTTGACTACTGCCATTTTTTTATTTGACAATCCAATGAAAAAGAGGTCAATGCCCCTAAGCAGTCAGGTATTGCATGTTTCAAAAATTCTTGTGGCACACTGGTTGAAAATCACTGCCATAAACCATAGTTCAAGCCAATCGATTAGCTGCCTAAAGTAAGTCCTATTTATAAAAATATGGGCTAGAAATCGGAGAGGTATTAAGAAAACATACAATGTCTCCTGAGATGTAATCAATTATGTTGTAACCAACTATATTAAAAGTTAGTAATTTCAAATAAAAGCAAGACATCTAAAACTTTTGTTGAAAAGATTAGCTAAGAAAAATAATAGGAAATATTTTTCTCAAAAAAATGTAAACAAACTTTCGTATTTAAGTAGATCACTGATAAGTGATTTAGAGGACACAAAGCTTATTTCCATAGAAGTTAGTATATTATCAGAGTCAAGAAATATTAAATCACACTAGAATACATGTACTATTAAAGTAATTTTGCTTTATCTTTTTTCGTTAAATTTTTAGTGAGAGAGGAGGAGGGAGAGAGGGAAAGGGGGAGGGGGGGGAGAGAGAAAGATTGATTTGTTGTTCCACTTACTTATGCATTCAGTGGCTGTTTCTTGTGTGTACACTGACCAGGGATTAAACCTGAAACCTTGGCATATTGGGAAGACACTCTGAGTTACCCGGCCAGGGCTGCTCTATTTTTCGTTATTGCTTTCTTCTTTCCCAACTATTTCACTCAACACGTATTTACTATCTATTGTGCTGCAGAGTGCTTTATTAAGAGTTAAGAATGACTACAGGAAAAAATAAATTAAGAAGAGTGTTCCTGCTACAAAGTCCTATAGGGTAGTTGGGAAGAAAAAATGTATATTAAGAAATATCAACTAATACATGAGTCAACCTTTAAATGAAATACAGCAATCTAATCAATATGACCTAAAGGAGTTTAGATAGCAGATATACCCTTAACCTAGCTTACTTAACTAGTCCCCAAAGTATTCTGTTTAGTAGGATCACAAATGGGAAATTAAAAAAAAAATTTGATGGTAAATGAGATATATAACAAATTATACACAGTACAGTCTATTTTCTATGAAAAGGGACTTAGGAATCAGAGATGGACAAAGCTTTAACCTTTGTTTCTACTCTACAATTTTTAAAAAAATCCTCAGCAGAGGATATGTTTATTGATTTAAGAGAGAGAGAGAGAAAGAGAAACATTGATGAGGGAGAGAAACATCAACCGGTTGCCTCCCTTACACACCTCAATGGGGGGATTAAACCTACAACGTAGGTATGTGTCCTGACCAGGAACTGAACCCATGACCATTGGTTTACAGATTGATGCTCCAACCAACTGAGCCACATTGGCCAGGGCTTCCAGAATAATTCTAATCATCATTAAAATTTGTATTAGACAAGAGGGGAAAACAGTTCTTACAGAGATAGGAATTTTATTTTTAGAGGATTAAAAAACCTGGAGCTATGATAGTACGCACTTTAAAATTTTAATATTACCTGTATTTTTGAAGTACACATTAGTTATCTTACTGAATTACCAACAAAATCAAATGTCTCTCTTTGCACATGTTAAATTCACTGCAAGTGTTCTATTTTTAAATGAAAAATAATTTTAATTCTAAATGTACAATCTTCAAAATCAAATGAAAATGTGAAGTATTCATGAATTTCCAGCTGTTTGAAAACCTTGGGAAACATGAAAAATAGTTTATTAGATACACAGGCAGGAAGGAAAAATTAAAACCCCCCAAAATCTGTTTAAGTCCTATGTGTATAAGGAGTGTACCAATTTAAAAAAACAGACTTGGAACCTGATGTTAACATGGTCTATTCCCTCAAATCCAGCGTTATGTTTGTCCAGCACTAAGGTTTATGTTGTGGTAAAAAGCTGAGAGTCACAGTGGTTAACTTCAAGTGAAGAATAAACCAAGAGAGAGAATGTACTTTTAGTGACTATTTTAAAACTGAAAAAGAAATGAGGATAATGAGTGTCTTTTCTTTTTCCAATGTCTTTTAAGTCAGACAATCATAAAATCTTACTAATTCAGAATAAAAAATGTACTAAATTAGTAGAAAGAGTACTTTAATTAAAAAAATTACTTTTGGTGTGTAGTCCATGGCTAACAAAGTGTTGCCAACTTTAGGTATTCAACTTGCTTTTATGAACATTTGATCATTTATGTACAAAAAAAAGGAATGCTGATAAAACTGCCAATTTGGGGGGGACGTGACTACTTATTGCTCTGTTTTGTTGAGACCATTAATTTGCTCAGGAACCTCACTTTTTTTCAACCCCTTATCTGAGAATATTTTCTCCATTGATCTTTATTTTTTATTGTATTTTAATCCTCACTGGAGGATATTTTTTCTATTGCTTTTCAGAGAGAGTGGGGGTGGGGGGGGGAGAGAGAGAAACATCAATGTGAGAGAAACACATAGATTGGTTGCCTCTCTCACTTGTCCCGATTGAGGCCGAGGACTGAGCCTGCAAGCCAGGTACATGCCCTGGGCCACAATCGAACTCAGGACCCTTCAGTCCTCAGGCCGATGCTCTAACCACTGAGCAAAACTGGCCAGGGCTTCTCCACTGATCTTTAGAGAGAGTGGGAGAGAGGAGGAGAGAGAAAGAGAGAGAGAAACATCGATGTGAGAGAGACACATCTTCAGGTTGCCTACCACATGAGCCCCATCCAGGGCCATGCCTTTGACTGGGAATCGAACTCCTGACCCTTTGGTCTGAGGGCTGACACTCTAATCACTTAGCCAAACCAGCCAGGGCAGGAATCCCATCTTTTTTCCTAGAAAACTCAAGAAAGATACAATATACCTCAGATGTATCCCCAACCAAGGATCAATCCAATTATTCAAATTAATGGTAAATGTTTCCTAACCTAATTTTAAACCTAAGCTGACTCTGATAACAAAGATCTCATTCCCTGGCTCCCTTACTGGTTGAGAATCTGATATAAACAATTAAATTCTATAATATAGATGTGTTTTTAAAATTACATTCATTTTTTTCCCTCTTCTCCCTCACCTCAAACTTAACATGTTATATCCATTGTTACCTAGCATTTTCTTTCATCACTACTGTTATTTTTAATATATATTTTTATTGTTGACAGTATTACAGATGCCCCTATCCTTCCCCTCACCAGCACTTTCTTTACTACAAGGTGTTTGTGCTTGAAACAAGCTGAAATTCCTCATTCAGAATTTTCTAGAGCATGGTTTAGTATTATTTCAACTCCACACAAAAATAGCAACTAGTACCATGACACAAATTGGAACATATACAAAATATCCTTTGTAACGGACTCACTTTCATTTTGTTAGGGTGAATGGAAAGTGTATGGTTTTAAAAGCATAGACACAGTACTCAATTATCATTCTCAGGGTTGAATTACTGGTTGGTGGAGGATGGTAATTTGATAAAAAGCACCTTCTCCATTAATTATTTTTCCTTTCAAAAATTACTGAACTACTTCCACAAGAGGTTTATTTCTTACAATGACTCTGAGTCATCAAGAGACATGCATTAAAATACATCAGGAAAAGGTCAGTTATAGCGTGAAGCAATCTGTTTGGGAATGAGATACAGGATAGGAGCCCAGCTCTGGGAGGGTGGTAGTGGGACAAAGGGGAATTGGGACCGCACAAAAGAGAAACCTTGCCTGCTCCTGTTGCTTAGGATCAACCCAAGTTCTTCCTACTAGCTGCTCTTCAGTTCTAGCTTAAAAGTGAGATTCATGCTACTCATAAACCTACCCCGCCCAACCCCTCCAAGTTCTACTAGTTTAAAAGTAACCATAAATCTCAATGTTTTGTGAAGGTGGCAATATTTCACTATTCCAATCAGATGGGAAGTGTTCCTTTCCCTAAGTAAAAAGGTGTGCAAATCTCCCTGGGTAAACACATTCTAATGGATATATATATTCCAGAATTTCCCCTTATATGTTAAAATACCATTCTGTACATTGGTAACATACTAACATTTCTAAATATTTTGTGTATATAACCAACAGTCTGGTTTTTTGCTAAAGTCCCTAAAACTTTCAGGCTATCTTCTTTACATATGGCTCATGACCCATTTCGGATTTATCAGTTTGCTTTAATCCTCAGATGAACCCAGGTACCTTTTCTTATAACACTAGTCACAATCCTTGGAATGCTGATTGTTTTCAAAGGCTTAGGCTTTTCTTATTTCATCCTTTGTCTTTCAGGCACGTGGTTCCTAGATGGTGATCGGCGAGGCTGACACTCACCACCTTCCCTCCCATAGTCCAACAGTAACCCATC